AAATAATATGATTAAATATTATAAAATACATATTAAAATATAACATACTATAAAAAATATACATTAATTAATAATTATATATTAATTAAAATATAATATAAAAGAAAAAAAAAATAACTTATATGATAAAATATTTTATTTAGTATTAGGGGTTGTTTGACAATTGCTGAATGGTTTTGGTGCAGAATGATTAAGTGGTCAGAATGATTAAGAGGCTCTTATGATATAGTGCAAAATAAAATATAATTGTTTGGTAATTGTGTACGATGAAATTAGGGCTCTTAATGGTTAAGGGAAATCTAGGACACAAAATCATTCAGAGGGTTTTAGAACCATTAAAAGACAAACTTTTTTTTTTTGCCAAACAAGATTCACCTCTTAACGATTCAGATGTTGACTCTTAATTGAACTATTAAGAGGTAAACAAAGAACCCCTTAATATTTATATTAATCGAAATAATACAATTAAATATTATAACGAGATCCGTTTGAAGAACATGAGGACTAATTGAAGTACACTTTAAAATATAACAGATATACTATAAAAAATATACAATTATTATTAATTTTATATTAATTAAAATATAGTATAAATAAATAAAAAATAAAATCAATAACATATATTAATTAAAATTTCTTTAAAATAATAATAAGACAAAAGATAATAATAACAAAAAGACAAAAAAAAAAACTAAGAACAAAAAAAAACAATGATAATTGAAGTAGTTTTAGGGGTGCCAATAATACTAGGTAGGGGTGTCATTAGCCTCCCCTTGGACTTTTCTTATGTTCATTGATTTCAGCAAAATTTTTGACCAATTTTTAGTTGATTATAATATTAAAATTAAATAAGATCGGGGACTTTATGCTCTTGAAATGTCAACTATGACCCAGACCAAAATATTTAATTTTGGGGGTATGAATATTAAAGTTAATTTACACACATATTGATTAATTTTATAGAACCCTGGAAAACAGTAAAAGAAATCGTCAATAGTTTTTAAGAGACTCAAGCTGATAACCTATGAAGAGGCAGTCAAAACGGTAGTTCAAACTCTTGATTCTATGTTTTTGAACGTATAATGCATATGGAAACAAACACTTGCTTTGTGTTCTAATGGTGTCTAACTGCTCCACAGATGGTGTTTTGATCGGTCGTCAAATTATATCCCAGTACACAAACATTTTATTAACATAATAAAAAACAAAACAAAAGTTAAATAGAAAAGAGGATAGTAAATAGACAAAAATTTCCCCCACTAACGGAAACTTAATCTATTTTTTTAAGGACATTACTCGTTAATTTATGTAAATTATAAGGACCAAATTTGTATTTAACTCTTAAAGCATATTGTTGTCTCTAATAGATTAGAGATACTTTTATTTGCAACCCCTCTCCCGTGCCCAGGTTCCCATCACATGTCCATTTCTCCATTAACTACTCAATTTTAAGCTCTGCTATTTGAAATTTTTAGATTTTAGGGTCTTGATTGCAAAGTCGATTTGTTTGTCGTGATTTATGCTTTTGTTTGGCAATAATCATGACGAGAATAGGTCGATTTGAATCGTGATGATGACATTAAAGGTGATTCGTAGCAACTTCTGGTGGTGGTGGTGACGATTGACTACGACAGACGGACGATGGTGATTATTGATAACGACGAATATGAAAGATGAAATAAACGATATTTGAGTGGACGACCAAAATGTGCATTTTTCTTTTTTATGGACCCGTCTTTTAATTTATTATTCTAATTAAAAACAAACCAATCAAATCGCTTCATGAATGAAAAAGAATTGTTTTTATAGTTCATTGAATATGTAGAATAGAGAAATTTGATTGTACAAAGTTATGCAGTTAAGCTGTGTTTAGGGAAAAAGCTGAAGTCTAGTTACAATAAGATCTAAAAAGCTTTCAAGGATGTATTGGATAAGCAGCAATAGGTGTTGGTTATTCAAACTGAAACTTCATAAGAAGCTTTACGGATTTAAATTTCTCCCCTTTCTTGTTATGCAGCGGAACCGTTCGAATCCCATTTCTCAACTCCGACACAGGCAAACATGTTTGACCACCGAACTTATCTTTATCTGATACATCATGATCTCGTACAACGATTTTCAGCAACGCCAGCTCAGGGACGCTCAACAAGAACGTAAACTCCTCATCCCATATGGGTATCCAATCATCTTTGATTACTCTCGTCTTCTTCTTGCTAACATCCGCCGGAACTCCAACCATATACATCTGTCCGTTGATCCTATTATCTATCAGATACATTTGGAACCAAAAGAATTCAAGATTCAATTTCAACATCTAACTAACCTTTGTGTAGAAATCTGGTGGTGAGAATTTATCAAAATGACTGTGGCTAAAATCCATCCGCCATCCGTCACCCATGTATACTTTCACCTGAAAAATAACAACGGCTTCTGTTCACTATGGTTAGAGGAAAGGTTTGCGTACATTTTACCTTCAGATGCTACATTTGTGTGGGATTTACTGGATCTATCTGGTATGTGTCGTGAAAATAAACTCAATAATAAAGATAGACAAGTTTTGCTGACCCTCAAAGTTTTCTTCACTGGTAATGTTCCTTTTGGATCGAACACCTCGTTATTAGGACCCTTGGTCATTAGAAAATCGGGTTTCTTAACATAACCACACCCTCCATTAGATCTAAACATTCCATGCATCATCCACAGCGATCTGCCATATCCCTATTTATACAAAATTGTGTTAGCAGCTCAAAAGACTAAAGCTTTAGGATCGTTATATACATTAGACTTCAAAACTCACCTGCATATTGAATGCGACCATCTGAGCGCCATGCATCCATGCAGTGAGTGGTTTGAAGTTCGTTGAGGTGACCCGTGTTCCCTTGGGGAACACTCTAAGAATGTTCTTTTGAGTAAACCTAGAGGGAACATACCCCTTATTAGAAACTCAAAGATTATGTTATCATTCACCAGGAGTCTAAAAAAGGGAACTTTAGTGGTTACCTGACTATATCGGTTCCGCAAAGAGATGCGCCTTTTTCAAGAGTTTGTTCACTCAGACTAATACGTTTTCCTTTCCCTGATCCAACCATTAATGCCTTCCTTAATCCGTCCTTTACTTTAGCAGCATGGATACCAATGAGTTGATTGTACTCGGGAGATGCTTTTTGTTCATATTTGACATCTTCGTCTTCAAATTCAATGTCAAGAAATTGGGACAATTCTTGAGTCGAGCTGGACACACAATTGTCCTGATTACTATTCATCTGCCAGTTAAAACCAAATCGAACGAAGAATACCCTTTTTAGAAAGAATTAGCAATAAAATGAAGTTAGCTCACCCTTTCATCAGTTGAAGTTTTTATTCTTTAAAGTCAGATGGTACCTCTTTTTCAGATGAATCTCTGCTGACTTTTGGTAAGCTCTCGCCTCCCAATTGCTTAGATCCCTCGCAACCTTTTGGTAGTTTTGTTGAAAGAATGATACGATACTTTAATGCTCCAGGTGAAGGGAATTCATCATTATCCCCTGCCTCTGGGGAGTAAAGCACATCTCCAAATATTTCTGTGACCATCTGAAAGCCATAATATACGGTCCATAAGTATCAACTGCATTTAGAACTTTAAAGACAGGAAGAAGAAAAGTTAACCTTTGCAACTTTTGCTTGAAGATTTGAGTTAAGATGATCCTCTAAGGTGATGATTACTGGATAAGGAGAATTCACAAAAGCATGCTCTTTAATCGACTTCAAACATTTGGAAAGTGTTACTGGAGTTGTCATAGTCCTATTGTCATTCAGATTTTCAATCACTAAACGGAACTTTCTCATCAGAAAGTAATAAAAAACTCATTCAGAAAACAGAAAGAAAAGAAAAGGAATACCTGCCGTGAAGAACATGTATTCCATCTTTTGCGCTATTTGGCCATAAATCTAGCTCAATTACCCTCACACCACTTTCTAGAGCTTTTATGATTGGTACTTCACTAGAATTACTGTAGAGCTGGTTTCCTGTAAGGTAGGAATTGTGGCCTGTATATATGAAGTAATGTTGCATTGGTGCAGTCATATCATGGTGTACCTGAAACGATAGGTGTCAAAGCATCTGTCACAGCTTCTCAAACATTCTTGAGATGATCATCTTTCAAAGAAGCATGAATTGAAGGTAAAACCATCAATAAGAAAACAAATGGACCAGTTCTTATAGCAGGGGACATGAAAATCAGCATCATCAATGAATGCTAGATTATGTTTCAGCAAAAACATTATTCCATAATCAAACATTATGCAAGATTGAGATAATCTTGCTTGATATATCAAGAAACTTTCATCACCCACAGTACCACACCATTTTCTTCTTTTTGAAGTTCATATGATCAAAACCCTATCAAGATTGGGAACAAAGAACCGTCTATGTAGCTAACCCTAAAAACTCCTCTAATTTTGACAAAATTGCTCTGGCATACGATCATGAGATCAAACTACTATCCACTTTACCTGAATAACAGAGAAATCCCTGCAGACCCACATCACAATTTCCCTAAACAAAAGCTCCACATTAAGTTTTAACTGAAAGGGGCTGATTCACAACTCAAAACTTGATAAAACTTCACTAAAAACAAGCAATATAGATTGGGAAAAATTGGAGATCTTAAATTACTAAAATTGAACAAAGAACAGCTAGTAAATCTTTCACATACCTGATCGATGATGGGTCCATTGAGGTCAACATGGAAGAGGTATCTGAAGAAATCATCAAGAGTGAAAGAGCAGTGAGTGAAGGTGGGTCGGAAATGGCGGAGCACTTGACCCATTATCCGCTCCGCATCATCGATTGTAACCCCTTGTTCTCCCTGATACCCGATCAAGAACCGTCGAAACTGAGGTGGGGACATCTGCGAGTCCCTGTTGGTGAACAAATTGAAGACGTCGATGACGTCTGGCGGTGGCCGCCGTTCAGAAATCTTGAACTTCCGGTTAAAACCGAACATCTTGAAGTAATCATAGTTCTCCATGATTCTTGGTCTTCTTTTTCTGTCCTTCCCATCTTACACAAATTCAATGTAGAAACAACTTGTACGTAACCGCGGTTGACTTGTTCCGAGGAACATCGAAAGTCTTGAATTCAAGAATAAAATATAGATGCAGAGCATCTGAGGTTTAGGATTTTGTTGGGGGGTTTTGGTGTTCGTTTGGTTTGACTAATTAAATCGATGGGTTTTTAGCATATTATGAACACTTGGGTCGGGTATCAACTTCAACTTCAAGGATGGTTGGAAATTCCTTCATTACAAAGGGATTGATTGGCCCCAACTCGGGTGGGACCCTGGCTTATACGACCCGAATGAGGATCGGGATTTTATATTAAAACGGGTTTCGGGACTGGGGATTTTCAAGTAGACTCAAACCGGAGTTGGGACCAGAGATCTTCGGTAGACTCAAAGATTTAATTTCAAGGTTATCTCGGTGAAATTTAATTAAAAATTATTTTTCTCTTATGGTAATCATTTTCCAAGACATCTTCAAATTTGAGAAATTTATAATCTCTCTCATACTTTCTTTATTTTAGATAACTAGTTGTGTATCCGTGCAATACGGTAGGAACCGTGAATTTTAACGATTTTGAAGTTTCACTGGTTTTATTAGAGAAGATTTAACGATGATATAAGTTACACTTGGTCTTTACACATTAATACAATTTGAATAAATAAGAGTTATGGTTCCAATTAAAGTCTATCGATGGAAAAAATTGTATGACAATTTAAAATCCAACATATTTAAACGACTCCACAAATGTGTTCGATTTACACCAAAAGCAAATAATTAAGAGATTGAGAGCGAGACTGAGAGTTCTAGAGCAATAATGAGAGATGAATTAGAAAACTCTAAATAACTCATGATGAATATCAGTTTGAATCTTACCTTGGGGGATGAGGAGAAGACATAGATGTATGAGAGAGTGAAGACATGAGTGAAATGTATCAAAAGTAAATTGGAAACATGAAAAGAAAAAGTAATAATGTGCATTAGCAACTTGTACTATATGTTATTTTAATTGTAGATTAAAAGATTTTAACAATGAATGCATAAAGTAGTAGTACTTAACACATTATGAGTTATTTTTAAGACTTTTACGATTTTATGCATAAATATATAGTATTTTGTGCATTAAAAAATATTTTTAAGACTTTTGACAAATCTGGTTTATAAGATAGTATAAATATGTTGGAGCAAATAGTTGTCTAAAATTCCTACTTTCTCTATTTTAAAGAATCTATTACAGATGCTCTCAATCTTAGAGTAACATTGATTAAATTTTATGTGGTATTTCAAAACATTAGAAAATACAAAAAAAATATCATTCAGAAAAAACAAAATTGTGTTGAAAATCAACCAAATGAACATAAAATTTCCATTGAAATTAAGTTTAGACATATTTATGCAATTTTAGAAAATTACACTATGGTTACTCTGGTTGTCATTTACTATCAACTCTTGTCTATTTTTTAAACTAACTACGGTTTTGATCATTGTGATTGCCAATTTGATTCATGAAACCTCATACTAAAGGGGCATTTGATTCTCAGAATCTGATGGAATTTGATTGACCAAATTTCATTCTCTCATTTGGTATATTTTTTTTATTAAAAAAATCTTCAAAATTTTATGAATTCTATAAATAAAGAAATTTAACATTTCTTAGCAACCACATGATATTTTGATGAAATAAAATTATCTATTTTCATAGTTTCAAATATGCTCTTAACCTAATACACTATAATCTTATAAAACCTAACATGACCATTGGTCAATTGAGTCTCATAAAACCCAATATGACAAATTTTTTACATACTAAATATTTTTTTTTATTAAAATCCAATATAACCATTGTTTTACATACTAAATATTTTTTTATTAAAGTATTTTTACTTTAAAAAAAATAAGTTTTAAAAAAACGTATTTTGATCATTTACTAATATTTCATTCAAATTTCAAAGTTATATTTTGTGAATCAAAGAGATAGATTTTAATTCCTTAATAAATTCAATTTTAATACATGTCAATCAAACAAATAATCAAACCTCACAACATTTTATTATAGTTTCTTGAAAGTATTATGCAAATCAAAAATCACCTCTTAAAAAATTCACCTCTTAAAAAGGTCCGTTAACTTAGAAGGTATTTTCGTCTTTTGGTCTTTCTGTTATATTCTATTACATCTTTTATATATTATATTATTATATATTATGTCATCATATATACACTTTCTATATAAACAAATCATATACATATAGATACACCACCAGTGCGGTGACCTCCATCCAAACCCTCCACCATCTCTGGCAACCGCCCGTCCTCCCAAACCATCCATGTTTCTCTTCGTCCCTCCCCTTTCTCCTTCTCGAGCACATATGTGAAATGATATATCTCTGTTTGTTGTTCGCATATCTGTCAAGGTTTTGTGTTTGGTGAAATCACAGATTTGATCAAAGATTTCTCCGATTTAGATCTGGCTGGACTGTTGGAGTCTCCAAGGTGGCCGAAGATGTTGCATGTCAGGGGAGCGGTAAGTCGAGGTTTTTTATATTGGGGGCGGTAGGTTTTTTCTCCAATTGTTCATCTTCTTCCTTCTTAGGTATGGGTTTGATTTTAATCAGGTTTTTTTAGACCAGAGAAGATGACAGGAAGGGAAGGATTATCAGATCATGCCGGGTTTTGGATTGTTTTGACTCTGGGTTTTGGTTCACACTCGTGGATGACAGTGGTCTACAACTTGGTCACTCTGGGTTTTGGTTCACACTCGTGGATGACAGTGGGTTTTGACTCTGGGTTTTGGTTCACGGAGATGGGGAATGGAACGGGAACAAAAAAAGGAAAGGGTTTGCAGGTGCGAGGCAGTCTCAGGTCAGTCGGAGGATTTTCAGATTGTTGAAAATGAACAAGGTGAGGTTTAATAACAGAAAAAAACGTATGCCACCGTATCTTATACACTGAATCCACATCCACCCATGAGTTGAAGAGCATCAAGAACCCTAATGAATATGCCAAATGACCATGATCGGCTTTAATAACAGAAACATAAACGGGTACGGGACAAAACCCGTAACAAAATAAATCATTCATGAACAAATCTGTAATAAATGAAAACATAAAAAACCCATAAACTACAGGAGGGATGACCGAAAACCATAACAAATAATTTGTGACAAAATATCGTACCAACGAGATTTGTATTGAATAAAGAATTGACATTGGAATGGAAAGAAATGAACTTGAAAGTGAATTCACATGGAAGATATAACACTGGTTTTCTTTTAATTTTCTATAAATGTATCCAATGATTTCAAAGTGGATCAGGTGAAGCGCTTAATTGGTCATTTTGAATGCTATTCTTAGAAAACACTTTAACTGAATACCCTACTTGTATGCCGTCGCATCCACACTCCCATCGTATAAATCCTACTCATTAATATTACATCCATCGTCTTCTTCATTCCTATTTCCTAGCTAGCTCCAGTTTTCAGATCTTCTTCTTCAATTACAGCAATCTAACAGGTGTGTGTGTATATATATATATATATATATATATATATATATATATATATATCTCTCTTTCTTCATTTTCAGATCTCAAATGCAACACCATTTCTAGTTCTATTAATTAATCAATCAATTCCCCTTGGATATATTTGATTAAGGTCTTAATTTGTGACGTGGGTTCCTCTTACTTTTATTCAAAGATCACCTACAAAGCAAGTTTCTTTTTGAGTAAATCGTATCTACTTGATCTATTCTAGTTTCCTTCAAATCAGTGTTGCATGCATGGGTCTCATTTTTTTGAGATTTTGAAATCTATTTCAGGAGATATATCATAATGATGGATGCCAATACCATTAATGGCAATGACGATAATCGAGATGACAATGGCAATGTTGATAATAGAGATGCCTATGACAATGCCAATGACGATAATCGAGATGTCAATAATGATGATGATCGAGATGACAACGGCAATGATAACGACACCAACAATGGCAATCGCAACGATAACAGCAATGACAACAATGGCAGTAACAGTAACAATGGCAATGGTGATGACAATAATAATGGCAGTGGGAGTGGCCGTGGCAGTGGAGATATTGATAATGTTAATGAGAATGTCAACCTTACTGATGAACAAACTGGCAGCAATGATGGCGATCAACCAAAGAAACAATCTTGTGTCTTTGTCAGATCAGATTTCTTCCCAGAAGAATCATTCAAGAGCTGGTCCAACTACGGCAAAGCCTTACTGGAAACCAGATCCCGTCTCAAAGAACGTGTCATGGCTCGTTCCTCAGACGACCAAGAGATCCATGGTATGCGTTCTCGAAGCCAGCATCAGATGAAACGGACCCTCAATTGGTTCGACCTCATCTGGTTCGGTGTTGGAGCCGTCATGGGTGCCGGAGTTTTTGTCCTCACCGGAGAAGCTGCTCACGGTTTAGCCGGTCCAGCAGTTCTCATATCCTATCTCATCTCTGGCACAGCCGCTCTACTCTCCGTCATCTGCTACACTGAGTTCGCAGTCGAGCTTCCGGTGGCAGGAGGGTCGTTTGCCTATTTGCGAGTTGAACTTGGCGATTTTGTTGCTTATATTGCAGCCGGAAACATCCTATTTGAGTATGTTGTAGCCGGAGCTAGCGTAGCACGATCATGGACTTCATATTTTGCGACTTTATGCAACCATCGGCCGAATGACTTCCGTATAAACATCCCGTCTATGGGAGAAGGTTTCGACTATTTGGACCCGATGGCTGTTGGGGTTTCTGTAGTCATTTGTATCGTTGCTTCTTTCAGTGTTAAAGGATCATCAAGATTCAATTCGATTGCAACCATAATCCATATTGCTGTTCTTCTTTTCATACTCATAGCAGGAGCAACGAAGGCCGACCCAGCAAACTTTAGGCCTTTCGCGCCTTTTGGTATTAGGGGTATTTTGAAGGCTTCATCGGTGCTTTTCTTCGCGTATGTTGGGTTCGATGGAGTTGCAACTCTCGGAGAAGAAACCAAGAAACCGGGAAGAGATATACCCATCGGTCTAGTTGGATCCATGATAATCGTCATCACGACTTATTCGCTTCTAGCGACAGTTCTGTGCCTGATGCAACCCTACAACCAAATCGACGTTGATGCACCATTCACACTCGCTTTCGAAGTTGTGGGAATGAACTGGGCTAAGTTTCTAGTCGGATTAGGTGCGTTAAAGGGAATGACTACGGTTTTGCTAGCTACCATCATAGCAGAATCTCGGTATTTCACTCACATTGCTCGGACTCACATGGCACCGCCCATTCTCGCGGTGGTTCACAAGAAACTCGGAACACCGGTGAACGCCGCCATCATCATGACCTCCGCAAACTGTCTCGTTGCGTTTTTCACCAGCCTCGAGGTCCTGGCGAGCCTTCTTTCGATCGCTACCCTCTTCATTTTCTCCTTAGTGGCGATCGGGCTGCTAGTAAGACGATACTACTCAACAGGAATAACATCCGATCACGATAGAAACAAACTGGTTTTGTTCTTGGTGTTAATCGTGACATCGGCAATGGGGATCGCGTTACTTTGGGCATGGGGCGTAAACGGTTTGGGAGCATATCTAATCATGGTCGGAATTTGGTTCATGTCGACCTTGGGGATCCAAGTGATGGTTAAGCAAGCAAGGAACCCGAAGCTCTGGGGTGCACCATTGGTTCCATGGTTGCCATCATGTAGCATCGGATTAAACCTGTTCATGATGGGGTCGATCGATGGTGCATCTTTTTTGAGGTTCTTGGTGTGGACTGCGATCTTGCTTGCTTACTACTTTCTTGTGGGATTGCATGCTTCTTATGATGCATCAAAGGAGACCATAAAGATGGAGGGTGATGATGGAGTTGAAAGAGGGAGTTCTGAAGATAGAGTGTCAACACCTTCTGAAACAGTAGAACTAAACACAATAACAACTAGTCGCACCTGATTGATTTCTGATTATTGATTTATGTACAAAAGTTCTAAGAATTTAGGACTTGTTCTTGTTGTTTTCTTAATATGTTGATTCAGTTAACAGAAAAAAACCAGGTTTTGATTCAGCTAACAGTTGTAATTTGTCGATTGTAATCATTTTTTGCGATTAAGTTAAAGAAATGACTCTGAACGATCTTGATTGCCGCACACACAAGCTGCATGGATGTTTATCGGGGAAGAGTCTATCATCCTCACTTACCTTATCAAGTAAGATTTCTCGGTCATCAAGATAGCATCGTACAAGCGTTTCTTACCCCGTAAGCACCAAGAGTCTATCACTCCATCGATTAAATGTGCTTTAGCATGTAAGAAATAATAAGGGTTTAACTAAACAAGCTCTAAACGAAGGGTTGTTCAATGTAGCAGCATCCATTTGTTGTTGGAAATTTTGTGGGTTGGAAGTTTGTCTTCCATTCCACATTGGTAGAAAAAGATTTTCTAAAGAAGCATATAAGGTATTTTCTAGAAATAGGTTTTGAACAAGTTGGTGGACTCATGGTGGGGTCTTGAGTGGAAGACCCAACATACACGCGTGGGCGCAGGATTCGCGTAGGTGGCCCACTTTGCACTTCGTGAACTAGTTGTAGGCCTCATCCAGTATATAAACTGAGTTGAAGCCAACTATCGAACACACCGAAAATAAATCAGTTTTCCTTCTATAGATTGCTGCTTCCAAATGTTCTTTTCTCTCTACCGATTTCTGCATCCACCGTGCTCTATTTTCGTTTTTGATCATTGTTCATAAGCGAAATGTATACTGCATCAAATACTGGGGTTTTGCGATTAGCAGACTCATAGCGTGTAAAAGTTGTCGTATAAAACCTTAAGGGATAGGTTTTACCGTACAGATTACGGTTCAAATCGACAGTTTAATCAGATTGGTTTTATATATAATGCATTGTATTTAATTTTATGTTCACTAAGGGTGCGTTTGGTACACTGGACAGGGTGAGACAGGACAAGACAGAACATATTTGTCCTACGTTTGGTGTGGCTAAATGTGGAACTAAGTGGAACTAAGTTGGACAAGCATGGGACACGCGTGTTCCACCATTACCCCTGGAACTAAGTGGAACACAAAACATTTTCCCTCTCATTACCCCTTCTTCCCCTCCATCGCACCCTCCATCGCACTCCATGCTCAGACTACCTCCATCGGCGACTGCCTCCATCGCCGACTGCCTCCATCGCCGACTGCCTCCATCGCACCGATTGCCTCCATCACATCGACTGCCTCCATCGCACACCCTCCATCGCACCGACCCTCAATCGGCGACGGGAGTTCTAGTCCATACACACAGTCCGACGGCCTCCATCGCACACCCTCCATCGCACCGACCCTCAATCGGCGACGGGAGTTCTAGTCCATACACACAGTCCGACGGTGTATGAATCGATTTTGGCCTAACCTTCTCCTTCTCCTTCTCCTTCATCAGGTACACGATTGCCCTAACCTTCTCCTTCTCATCGCTAATTTTGAATCAATTTAGGGTTTGCTATGTTTGAATCGATTTAGGGTTTGCTATGTTTGAATCGATTTAGGGTTTGCTAGGTTTGAATCGATTTAGGGTTTGCTAGGTTTGAATCGATTTAGGGTTTGCTAGGTACGCTTCCTACCTCCATCGATTAATAGTGTCTTCCCTGTTTTGGTTTGGTAAAGAATTTGTGTTCGATTTTGGTTTGGTAATGAATTTGTGTTTGTATTTTGGTTTGGTAATGAATTTGTGTTTGTATTTTGGTTTGGTAATGAATTTGTGTTTGTATTTTGGTTTGATAATGAATTTGTGTTTGTATTTTGGTTTGGTAATGAATTTGTGTTTGTATTTTGGTTTGGTAATGAATTTGTGTTCGATTAACAGTGTCTTCCCTGCATCAATTTGTGTTTGAATTTTGGTTTGGTAATGAACTAAGGAACCGTTTATGGGATGCATTGGTAATGAATTTGTGTTCGATTAATTGCCCCTTGCATTTCTGTTTGCATTGGTAATCACAGATGCATTCCTGCATCAATTTTATACGGGATGCATTTTGGTAATGTGTTTGAATTTTGGTAAATGTGTTTGATATTGTAGATGAAGATGATGAACCCACTGCCTCCTGCATTTCGTAGTGAAAAAACACTAAACAGCTCACTAGGGGTAAATTGATCATTTTAACTAGTTCTGTCCTGTCCTGTCTTACCGAACGCTGAACAGTTGTCCTGTCATGTCCTGTCTTGTCCCGTCCTGTCTGTGCACCAAACGCACCCAAAGTGAACAACTCTGCTTCTACTCCTTTATTTCATTGAATCTATCGCGAAGGATAAATTCAATATGTATGAATGGACACCCTGTTGAGGTGTTGTGGATTCTGAACGCTAAAAGCTAAAGATTTGAAGTTTTTAAAGATTAAAACTTTATTTTGTTTGATCAATGTTACTCGAATAATTTTCAACATTTGTTTCAAGCATTCTTAACTTTTTATCAACAAATAACATCTTAACAATTGTAAATGCAAAGGTTGAATCATCAATTTTAGAAGCAGAAGGTTGAAGCGGAACAAGTTTCCGAAAAGTAGTGAGAAGTTGGCTTGAAAAGGTGTGTAAAGAGATGCAGAAATGTGTAAAAGACCGGCATCTGCTGTGGAGATCAGTTACATCGTGGGTGAAGTGGTTGTGAGGCACACGCACGCCATCCCAATTGGAAGAATCAACAATCGCAAGTGGAAGAGGAAGCTCAGCCAAACATGACATGCAACATCCTCCAGAAGATTCTGTTGAAGCAGAGCATCTCTTATTGGAAGAGGAAGTAGCAGAGGAGATGAAGCAAAAGAAAAGGAAAAGGAAAAAGGAGAAAAGCAATTTTGAATGACTCATTCTCTTTATTTCTATGTGTTGTAGTTGCATGCATTTGCTAAGAACTTGTTCATATAAATAATCACTTTGTGGAAGTAGGGTCTTTAAATTAATGTTGTTTACTTTCAAGGGTGCATATCCATTTATCATCGACTTTTTCAAAAGCCCTCGAATACTAAATATATCATGGGGTAGGCTAAAAACACCTCTACATATGTATCAACATCAAGAGTTTATTTTTACACTTTCAATCCGGCGAACATTGCAGATGGGTTTTGAAATATACTTCTTGACAGGTGTCCATGTTTGTTTTAAAATAAATGTTCATGTCTGTAGAACATGTATGTAGTTTAACATCAGTTTTGATGTAAAGAATTCTTTGTAAAAATATCACATCTTGAAACTATAATTTACGTAAATGGCAGAGTTTAGATAGAAAAAACAAACCGGTAATATATAAAATATAAAAAAACCAACGGTAAAAAATATAAAATATAAAATATAAAAAAACAAACCGTAAAATTATATAAAATATAAAAAAACCAACGGTAAAAAATATATACAAGACGGTAGGAAATTTTGTAAAAAAATGTCGTTAGATTTTATTGTGTAATTAATTAGAGAATACAATCAGGACAGGATGATTGATTGATTCTCTTTTACAAATCAACGAACGGTCGCATGATCCACAGCTACATTTAACCCACAACCATGGCAGTCCTTCATTACTACATATAACTCCTCCAGTTGGTGAAATTTAGGGTTTTCACCATGGCAATCCTCCGGTCTTTCTTTAGTTTCAAACATCCTTACTTTCGAAAATACGTTGACGGAGTTGATCTGATGAAGAAAAAGATGAAGATGGTTGAAGAAAACAGGTAAAGTTTAAGTTAATATTCCACCATTTTGTTTGCAAAACGTATTATTCTTTTTGAGTTTGATCTTCTTGAACAGGGTTTTTAGGTTCTTTTCATGAAATAAACTACTATAAACTTTTTTATTCATCTTTGAATTTTACAACCACTGAATTGAATTGCTTATCCTTATTTGTGTAATTTGCATCTGATGTAGTTAGTTGGCTGCAATCTGCGCAATTTCCCTACTAAGTACACGCGTGTAATGTTTATTTCTTGGCCCACACTATCAGCCAAACCACCTCAATGTGAGTCGGATCACTTACAGACCGTTTACCAAATACTTACCGGGTAAGATTACATTAACAGATACCAAGAATCTTACCTGGTAAGATTGAGAAAGGACCACCAAGAGTCTTACCCGGTAAGTGAGGGCAAAGACTCTTACCATGGTAAATGCTTACCGGGTAAATTGTTGCATACGATGTTGTTTTGATGGACTAAAATCTTACTCGGTAAGTAAATGATAGTGTTAATTTTACCGGTAAGCACTTATCGAGTAAGTGTTTGGTAAACGGCCGACATGAAGTGCGCAGTAAATACTTTTCCAGAGATCTCCAAATTATCGAGCTATCAAAATCGTGAGCATCACTAACTATATGACATTGAACATTTAAAGTTAGTTGTAGTTTTTGATGCTCTGATTTGATCGTGTCAATTTAATTGGTAAAAGACTCCTAATACTTCAATCCCTCTACCATTTTTTTTCCATTGTAGGATGCAATTAGTCTGTTTCATTTACTTGGTGGTGGAGTTACTGGCAAGAAGTTTACTGTTCCGGCGCCAAGAGGTGATCACTTCCAATGAACTTGGGTACCCCACTTACCTTTCTTTGTAAATTTGTACTTTTTTGGGTCTCTCCGGTTCATCTATTTATCTCACCTTTTTCTGTGTAGGACATATTGACCGTTATTCAGTATTTGCATGACCGTGATACATGTAGATATGCATGATGTTTTTGATGGAATAATTCCGAAGGATGGTGGTTACCTGTTCAAAAATGTGGCCTTCGACTCATTGAGTTTATGGGGCGTGAGACCTTTTGAAGCTGGCCTTTTAAAGTTTAAGGCCTGCCAAGAAAGAAGAATCCTACGAAGTAGAGTCATTTACTGAACTTTTTGGCTAACTTAAGAAGAAAAAACGAACAATGAAGAAACTAAAGTAGACGAAAAAGGAGATGGTTCGTCGAGCTCCAGCATAGTGAATAGCTTTGAAGTTCATGATCTCCTGTTCACGAGTATGTTCTCTGGCTGTCGGATTACTTGTACTTCATTATTTTTCTTCTTTTCTTCCAACGAGCTCTGCTTTGTAACTTGCAGTAGTAAAGCCTTTGGGGTTGCAATTGGCAGAGAAGGATGACCACACTAATGTTGTAAATGCCTCCGTTGAAGTCCTACATCAGCTAGACTTGGACATTTCTCATATATATATAGATATGTTGGAACATCCTCTTTCTCCTCAAGGGCTCTTTTGGAGAGTGATATGGGGGTTCCACATATTTTCACACACTTCTTTTGATTGTTGATTTGTTTTGTTAATTTTAACATCAGCTTCCTATTTCCAAGTTTTGGATGAAGGTTCAGAATGGCCAGTGGTCGTGTTTGCTTAAGAAGCCTTTGATAAGAAATTTATTGTGTTAGATCAGCACAAGAAGATCATATCAGTGAAAAGACTGTGAGGATCTTGGAAAGGTCCACCGGAGGTTTGTTATTATTTTAAAAACTTTAAGTTGTTATCGGCAGCGTTAGATTGGAAATGTATGCATCATCTGGTGGTTGTGTTGTGCAGGATAAACAAGGAGTTGTCACGCAAATCTAACAGGGGTCATCATTTTGCAGGATTTAGAATGGATAGGAAAATTGTGGTTACATTGCGCTAAAGCACAAATCTTTTCAAAGTGGAATTTTCTGCAGACCTTTTCAAAGGAAAGGCTCGTTTATCATGGATTGGAATACTACCGCAACCTGCAAAAAGCTTTTTTCAGCATTATCAAAAATTATTCATCAGCTGCAGGGTGGTAAGTCACATGCCTCTGGTTTTGATGATTTCTCGTCATTGCGCAAGTCTCTACTAACTTCTGTAACATGTAAGTTTAGAAGTTATTATTGCCATTGGATGCAGATATTGTTCTAGCAACAAAGAATTTGTTTTTCCACATATAATGAGAAATGATGTTCATTGATGATCATATTAGATTTTGTCAATATGGTCTCTCTATTTACTCATTTAGTCAAAAAGTCTTTAAACACAACATGTAAAGCACAAAATATTGTATTTTAAAGCATAATTTTTTAAATTTTTTTAATTACAACATTATAAGCTTAGTGTACACCTTGTTCCAACTTGGTTACTTCTTCAAGGTTTGCGATATGTGCACACACAACCGCTTGATTGCCGGATTTAGTATGCCTTTCAAATTTCTTGCTCTGCATCTCTCTTCATATTTATTGCTGCATGTCTTGTTCTCTCCATCTCTCAATTCTTCATATCACATCCAACAACACAACCAAAAGTGGTTTAGGACAAAAGTGATTGACCATCTAGTTGTGTTTCTTTCATGGAAACAGATGCATAAATGGGAATTTCATTTGATTTTGGCATCTAATGAATGCTTCTAGAAATGCCGTAGAATCCATAACCATTTCTTGTGAGGTTTGAGAAAAAGGAACAAAAATGCAAAACGATTGTGTGGTTGTTCTGTTATGGAGGCTATAATGTTGTTCTTTTATTAAGTTTCACTTTTTTCATTACCCATGTTCTTTGACAGGAACCCTGTTCCAGTGACAATCTGATGTATGGAATTCTTTTGGAGATCAAATCCTCTACCCAAGGAAGACATAGGTTTGTCTTGTCTCCTTTCTATGATCATCTGGAATTCGTTTGAACCTTAGTGGTGGTCTATTCTGGGGAAAAAAAGAGCTTCCAAATGAACACTATAGAATCCAAAGGTAGGCATCGATGTAGGTTGAGCATCCTCCGGTGTCATGGATTGTGATAGGATTCTAGCAGAAGTGTATTTTAGAATCCAATATCAAGAAAAAAAATGGATGTTATTAAATTCCTGTTTTATTGAATGGATAGTATTTCTGTTTCTTCTTGGTCATGCAAATTCCTTATAGACTTCAAAGTAGATCCTTATCATTATTCAATGAAGGGGATGACACATGTAGGATGCAAATAATCTGTTATCATGTTAGGTAATTTATCTTTTATTTACAGGGTGGAGGAGTTACTAGCAATAAGTCTACTATTCCAGTGCCATAATTGATCACTTCCAGTGAACTTGAGTACCATTCTCAATTTTTCTTTGTGAAATCTCTACTATTTTTTGCCTTGCCTATTAATTTATTTATCTCACATTTTGTAATCAACTGGTAGGCATGACTGTGATACGGGTGATATGTATGAGGTTTCTGATGGAATGAGTGAAGGAAAAGTGCCCATGGACTCTTTTAAGTTTTTGATGGAAGATACCTTACAAAATTTATGCTTGCCAAGAACAGTCATGTAAATTGGCTTGGCTAACTGGACTTTTTGGTGAACGTAAGAAGAAAAAGGAATCAGTAATAGAGTAGGTGGAAAAGCAGAGGGTTCATTGAGCTCGAGCATGGAGAATAGTCACTGGTATGTTTTCTAATTGTCCGACCATGTCAACCATTGTATTAGAAAAGCAAAGATAACCGAATAAGTTTCTATCTTATGGTGCAACTGGTTGTCTCCTAGCAGATAGAAGAATTGTTTGCTTTAATCTCACATTGGTTTTGATGTTACCTGCTAACTTCAGTACTCTGAGTGTTGGAGTTCTTGGGCGCCTCTCTCTGCGTTAGGTGCATCGATTTGTTCATATCTCCGTCTAGTTGATTAAACTTACTTTTTTTCTTAGTTATGATATTCTCATCTCCTTCTATCTATCGCTTGGACATGAATAACATCACTAAAGAACACAATGACAGAATGATGTCCTTTTTACTCTTGGTGCAGCTTCGACCAGAATCCAGTTCTGTGATATGCAGAAAGCTGGTTGCTGGGGAATGGGCTCAAGTGAATGTGAAATCCAACGGTTTGCATTTTCTATATCATATTTCATCATCCTTAATATCTATGTATGCTTCTTTCTTGGTTCTCTCATTTTACTCACAGTCACCCGTTAGAATTTTATATAGAATTCGAAGACTTTTCAGTTTGTGTTTTTCACCCATGACTCTGAACATCAGACTTCCTCGGTTTCATGTTGATATGTTCATTTTATAAAAAAAAAGTTAGAATTTTTGATAATCTTCAGGTGTAATGTCCCAACTTTTGATTGCTGACCCTTTTCATCTTCATTATGTTATTATGGGTTCATTTACCAAATAGCAAGAGTAAGCTGTTTTGCACAATTTGCAGAAATAACAAACAAAAACACACGTACCGTTATTTAAGGAACTAATTTCATTTTTCAATCTATACGCATCTTCTCTTGTTTCGCCTTCATCTGGATCATATGCCCTACTTCATCAACAATTGCATTGAACCATTTTGGTCTTCCTGTTGACAACATCTGATATCCCAACACCAATCCAAGTATGGTTCCACATCCATATCCCAACATTGCCGCTTTCCATGTAAACCCACTCTCCTCATCTTCGTCAACTTCAAGATGTGGGGCACTCAGATGTTCACAGTGCTTGGATAGTGGAGACCCACATAGTCTCGGGTTTCCTTCAAACGAGGTTGCTTCAAATGTCCTGAACTGTGTTCCGTCAGGAATGCGACCCACAAGTTGGTTGTGAGAGAGATTTAAGACTGCAAGAGCCGTGATGTTTGCAAGACTTTGAGGGATCTGCCCTGTTAGCCGGTTCCAAGACAGGTCTAATGACTCGATCTCCAAGAGATTTCCTAGAGCATTTGGGATTCGACCGTTGAGGTGGTTGTGGGATAAGTTGAGCACTTTCAAAGAGTTAAGACTGCCAATGATATTTGGAATCTCCCCTTCAAATATGTTATTGGATAGATCAACAATTGTGTAGTCAACAAAAAATTGGGGAAATGAGAGTTGCACACCTTTCACCGCAACAACGATCGAGTAAAACTTGCCACCACCAAGGCTCAAATATTCAGGTTTTGTGCCCTTCTTTGCCACATTCTTAATGGCATCAAAAGTTTGAAAATATTTTCCAGGGAGATGGCCTACAAACTTGTTTTCAGACAAGTCAAGGACTTTGAGACTAGGAAATGGGTGTTGAATCATAGAAGAGCTTTCTATGGGACCATGGAACTTGTTTGATTTGAGGACAAGAACCTGCAGATGTGAAAGATGTGAGGACCAGTGAAGGAATGTACCATTTAAGTGGTTGTTTCCCAGATCAAGCACCTTTAAGGATTGACATTTGGACAACCAAATTGGCACCTCTCCTTCTAATTGGTTTCCGTTCAAAATAAGCCCCCCTAGTTGTCCGCAATCCTTGTACGCATTTGGAATGGTACCGTGAAAATGATTGTGCCCCATATGTATCATCTTAAGAGTGGTGATCATTTTACCCAAGCATTCTGGAATCACTCCACTGAAGCTATTATTTGACATATCCAAATACTCTAAATTTCTCATGTTGCAAATTGATGTAGGGAATGTCCCCTGAATCAAGTTGGACTGCATACCAAAATATTCTAATCCATTCCACTGAAATTGTGGCAAGCCTGTTATTGAGTTACGTGCGAGATCCAAATGCACCAACTCATTTCCGCCTATCACCCTTGCCCAATCAGGAATTTGGCCACTGATTTCATTGTTAGATAAATCTAAACGTTCAAGATTTTTCATGGCTCCTATGGAATTTGGAAACGTTTTTAGCTTGCAGGATGCCAAATATAATAGGGAGAAATTAGGGTTAACGTAATAAGTATCATTACTGGTCACAACAGATAAGCCGCTGTAAGAAAGATCAAGTTCTTCAATGCTTGTGAGGCTTGATAACAATGTATTCAACTCCCATACACCGGTAAAATTGTTAAATGAGAGGTCAAGGCGAGTAAGGTTGACAAGTTGTCGAAATGTTTGCAAAGTGGAGCCTTGATCAAGCATGCCAATCTCCCCAACAAATTGATTATGCCCAAGTGATAATCTCTTTAATGATTGCATGGCAAACAACTCTGCTGGTAAGCTCCCACTGAATATGTTGCGTTGGAGGTAAATAGCTTCTAGGAAAGGAAGGGTAGATAACGAAGAAGGCAATGTTCCATTAAGCATGTTAGAGGACAAATCTAGCATAGTAAGGTTCCTAAGGTTAAAGAAAATTTTGGGAAAGGGACCCATCAAACCACAAGAATTGAGTAGCAAGGTGTTCAAAGACTTGAGGTGGCCAATTGATTCAGGTATTTCTTCTGAGAAGTTGATATATGAGAGGTCCAAGTGATTCAAAGACTCAAGATGGCCTATTGAGTCGGGTATTTCTCCAGATAAGTTGGTGTGTGAAAGACTCAGGCGATTCAAAGACTTGAGATGGCCAATTGAGTCGGGTATGTTTCCTGATAAGTTGGTGTGCGAGAGATCCAAGAGATTCAAAGACTTGAGATGACCGATTGATTCAGGTATCTCTCCTGATAAGTTGGTGTGCGAGAGAACCAAGTGATTCAAAGACTTGAGATGGCCGATTGAGTTGGGTATTTTTCCTGATAAGTAGGTGCGTGAGAGAACCAAGTGATTGAAAGACTTGAGATGGCTGATTGAGTCAGGTATTTCTCCTGATAAATTGGTGTATGAGAGATCTAACCACTTGAGAGGGCTGTTCATACTTGTATTAACCTTGGGAAACCGATCAGTACCAAGGTCATTGAAGGCCAGGTTAAGTTCTTCCAAGTACGGGAGATTGAAGATGTTATCAGGTAATTTCCCTTGCAAACCGGTGGACTTAAGTTTGAGAGATTTCAGAGAAGTGATATTAAGATAAGCTGGTAAATATGAAGTGATGTTAATTTTTTGAAGAAGAAGCTCTTCCAAAGTAGTAGAATTCTGGAGGAGATTGTAGAAAACATGATGTTCAAGCTTCAAATCATTCCAAGAAAGATCAAGAGATACCAATTTACCTAGAAGTATGACATCGGTAGGAACTTGGCCTATAAACCCACAATCAGAGATGTTGAGATGTGTAAGACTATTAGAAAACCTTCCAATCTCTCGTGGAAGTTGGGAATTGGTAAGATTATTGAAAGCAAGGTTGAGTCTTTGGAGGCGAGGAAGGTTGAAAAGGGTGGAGTTAGGGTGGATGGTACCTCGTAACATTCCACAGCTAAGGTCAAGAGCTATGACATCACCAGTGAAACGGTCACAAGTGATACCATCCCACTTGCAGCAATCAATACTCGTGTTCCAATTCATCATAATTGGCTGATAATCAGAACCAAGCCAATCATGACATCTGTAATCGTCGTCCTCGTGTTTATCGTAGAGGTGATTATTGGAGAAAAGATTTTGTTTAAAGAGATGTAAAGCATGACTTTGTATGGTAGAGCATTTAGGAGTGATGTTGGAATAAGCATAGCAAATGAAGAAAGAGAAAAGGAAAAAGGAGAGAGAATGCAACTTTGGATGATTCATTCTCTTCAATATTGCAAGTGTAGACATGTAGTTGTAATTGCTATAAATAAGTCTCAATAATTTTATACAAGCTTACTTTGAATTCTTTTATGCATTTAATATTTATTAGTTTTTTTCCCCTGATTTAAATTATAAATAATAATTTTTTATGTTTATGAAAAGTTTCAAATTTTAGTATTTTTGGTTCAGCATGAATAATAATGTTATGTATATATACAACAAAATTGGGTTTATAGGACACTAAAAAGTTTTCAGGGGACTACTAAGACGTTGTAACGAGTTTATATGATGCCTTTGAGCGTTTTAACAAGTTTTTTAAAACATTTTTAATGTAAAATGTCACATTAACAATTTTATAAGATACTTTTTGAAAAAGTATTATATATTATCAACAATGACCAAATGAAGTCTCCAATTAAATAAGTGTTGTATATAATTCAATGGGAAGTTTTTCAAAAAATGATTGGTTCCAAGATGGGTCTTAGGATGCAATGGTTTAACACATTTATTGTTTTATTTTTCAAAAGTATTTTTAGAAAATATAATAAATAAATTGTTATAATTTTAATAAGACGAAATGTTATCGTAATTTCTAAAAGGAGGGTCATGTGAATGAAAGACTTTGGGGTTTAAGTTTCAACCCTTTGCTTGTTCTCCTTGTACGTAGTCAATTGTTAAACATCATTTAATTCGTTGCAGTGAAAACCCGACAGCATTGATAACTCTTATTGGTGGTGGACAGTGATGGACGGTCGTGACCATTTAAACAAATGTCATAACAGTGTTGATCAAATGAGGGTAGATTAGTAAATTTTTAGTTTTTTTTTCTTATTCTTTTCTTTCCACCTAATTCTAGTCCTTGCCCTATATCCAACCAAACGTGAGACGACAAGTTTATATCATGTCCTTGTCGTAATGACAAAGAAATAGAAACATGTTATTTTTTTATTCACTTCTTTGAAGCGCTCAAATTAACAAGACATCCAAAACTACCAATCACATAATTTCTAAAACAATAGTCGCAAGTTAGCCAAATCCATTGAAGAAGATGCAAATCATGCCCTTTTGGAATCTCCCAAAGCAAAAGCAAATGATGAAAACTGATCATACATTGTGTTTATAATTATACCCATCAACAAAAACTTATCACAAAAATTGTTTCTAAGTAAGTTGATTGGGCTTTAAGTCTTATGTCATTGGCTAACTTATTGAATTTCTGAAACTAGTATGGGTTAGGAACAGGGGGCTCTAAATCAAAGCCAAAGAATACACTAAAAGATTTTCTTGGGTGTAGTAAAGTAAAGCCTGTAAGGAAGTTCAGTTGTTAATGATGCCAAATAGTGAAAGAACAGCAGCATGCAAAAAAGGGTGATTTTACAGAAATCTAAGCTAAAGTGGGAGATGAAGAAAAGGTAAGAAGATCGATCATATAGGCTTTCTTTTTCACCTCTGCTCTTCTACGTTTTCAATTCTCTTCATCTTTAGGTGGTGTTACACGAGAGTTGAAGGTAACTTTATATTGTTTGCTTCTTGAAAATGACCATGTCCAAGATTTAATAGCGGCTCAAAGTTGATCGATTTGGCAAATGAGGAAATTTGTGCAAACTCGTGAACTTAAGATTTACAATTGTGAGGTTATGATCCATTCTTGAAGAAAATTCCAGAATGGAAGAGGGTTTTTATGATTTGTTGGCTCAAATTAATCTGTATGTGCAAACATTTTATTATTTAAAATATTCCATTCATCTAATAAGCTATTATTTTAGAGATTACAATATTGATTATATTATTAAAATATTCCATTCATCTAATAAGCTATTATTTCTTTTTCTAAAAATTTAATTCCAAAGTTTCACATCGGTGAGAATATATTAAAAATATCTCTATCAAAATAATCATTTTTAGAGGGTTCTCTTAATTTGGATAAATTTTTCGCACTTTCTCCTAGTTTTTCTATTTTGGTGAAAAGAGATGGTGACGGATTTTCTTTTTCCATGAGGAAACGTTAAATAGATTTTTTGTTTTTATTTATAGCTTACTTTTTTATCTCTTTATATCACACGATCGTACAACCAGTTATAGATTATAATACATATGATATTGTTTTACATTTGATTTGAATTTCTATCAAAATACAAATATTTTCAAAAGATTGTGTTTTGATCAACGTATTTAGGTTGTTGCAACAAAATGTTTCATAAAGAGAAAAGTTAAAAAAAAGAGCCAACGAACTTTCTTATTTTAAATGATCAAGTGTTTAAACTATTTTTTAATCAAAAAAACGATTAAATTTTCTCATTTTGGAAGATTAAATCCATAAACTATTTTTTTGAATGAAAAAACCATTAATTTTTTTTATTTGGATTGATTAAGTCTCTTATTTTTCTATAAATAAAATAAACCATAACTTTTTAAAATTGGTTACTTACATCATTTTAACTCAAAATAAAGCTATCTGTAACTGATTAGGAAAGTTCTAAAATAAACCCAAACGATTTTAGCATTCTCATACCTTATGACATTCAAAACCCAAACACCAAATCACTCCCCTCGTCGCCCCATCTTTGTCTATTCTCCATATTGTCTATCATGTTGTTGCCCCTGCCATTGATGATAGAATAAAATACTTATTGTTGCTTTCTACATACTCCTATATTAGGACTTAAATAGAAAGACACACAAAATGTAGCTAATTATATAGAAAAACAGAAGAATGAATGATTAAAATATGTATCCATGATCTTAAATTATTTATTTGATAAGGAAATTATCCGTCTTCAAGGTTACGCATTAATGCTATATAATTATGACTTTATGACCAACATAAGACACAAGGAAATAAACTAACTAATTAAATTATTTCTAAGCTTTAATAACAACATTGTTATGATTCCAAACATGCATATATAGGATAATTCAGCATAGCTCCATCCCAATCTGCATCATAACCAAAATTTCAGAAATGAAAAATAAAAAGCATTAATTTTGTTGACATTTATAGAAAAGAAAACATGCATGGGAAACACGTACCTAATCTCATTTCCCAATTTGTGTGATTTATCTCCTCTTGTTTTGCCTTCTCTGGATCACATGCTCTATTTCATCAACAATTGCATTCAACCACTTTGGCCTTCCTGTTGATAACATGAAATATCCCAACAACAATCCAACTAGGGTTTCACATCCATATCCCAACATCACCACTTTCCATGTAAATACACTCTCTTTTTCTCCATCAACTTCAAGCTGTGGGGCACTCGCATGTTCACACTTCTTGGGTAGCGGAAACCCACATAGTCCCGGATTCCCTTCGAATGAAGTGTTGAATGTGCTCAACTGTGTTCCACCAGGAATACGTCCAACCAGAAGGTTCTGCGAGAGATTTAAGACTTCAAGATTTGTGATGTCTGCAAGACTTTGAGGAATCTTTCCTGATAGTTGGTTCCAGGATAGGTCTAATGATTCAATCTCGGAGAGATTACCTATAGCCCGTGGGATCCGACCGTTGAGATGGTTGTTGGATAAGTTGAGCACTATTAACGAGTTAAGAGTGCATATTTCGTTTGGAATCTCTCCTTCAAATTTGTTACCGGATAGATCAATAATCGTGTAGTCGTTTGAAATTTTCTCAAACCAGAGTTGTTGACCCTTCACCACAACAATGATAGAGTAAAAGTTGTAAGTACTCAAATATGTATTCTTGCCATCTTTGACCACATTCTTCATACCATCAAAATTTTGAAAATATTTTCCAGGGAGATGGCCTCCAAACTCATTTTGAGATAAGTCAAGAACACTCAAACTAGGAAATGGGTGTTCGATCATAGAAGAGCTTCTTTCCATCAGACCATGAAACTTGTTTGATCTGAGGACAAGAACCTTCAGATTTGGAAGACGTCCTAACTGGTCAGGGAATGCACCAGTTAAGCGGTTGTTTCCTAGATCAAGCACTTCCAATTCTGGGCATTTGAAAAAGCAACTTGGCACCTTACCTTCAAATTGATTTCCATTCAAAATAAACCACCTTAAATTTCCACCACACACATGTGGAATGGTGCCATTGAAATTATTTTTCCCTATATCCATAACTTCAAGAGAAAAGTTCATATCTCCAGGTTTAATCACTCCAGTAAAGTGATTATTGGACAGATTCAAATATCAAAGATTGTCCATGTTCCAAATTGATGGAGGGAATGGTCCTGTTATGATGTTATGTGAGAGATCCAAGTAATTTAGTTCATTTCTTCCTAGCTCCCTAATATGGCCATCGATTTCATTTCTCGATAGATCTAATTCTTGAAGTTTTCTCATGGCTCGTAAGGACTCTGGGAACACCTTTATCTTGCAAGATGCTAACTTCAAGGATCCAAAATTAGGATTGACATAGCGACTGGCATTATTGGTCATAACAAATAAACCACTATATGAGAGAGAAAGAGAATGAAGGGTCCTGAGGCTTGATAATAAAGTATCCAACTCCCATACGCCAGTAAAATTGTTAAATGAGAGGTCAAGCTCAGTGAGGTTGTTGAGTTTCCAAAATACTTGCGTAGTGGAGCCTTGATCAACCATATCAATCTCACCAACAAATTGATTTGCACCAAGGGATAATATCTTTAATGATTGATGGTTGAACAATTCTGTTGGTAAGCTCCCACTGAACATGTTGTTGGAGAGAAGGATAGTTTCAAGTGAGGGAAGAGTAAACAACCAAGAAGGCAACGTTCCATTAAGCTTGTTAAATGCTAAATCTATAGTAGTAAGGTGCCTAAGATTAACTGGGGACTTGGGAAGGGGACCCATCAAACTACAATCAAAGAGTATTAAAGTATTCAAATACTTGAGATGACCGATTGAGTCGGGTATCTGTCCTGATAAGTTGGTGCCTGCGAGATCTAAGAACTTGAGAGGGATGTTAGTGTTTGTGTAAACTTTGGGAAGTTGACCGTTGATATTAATGTTAGATCCCAAGTCAAGTTCTTCCAAATACGGAAGATTGAAGATGTTATCACATAGTTTCCCTAGCAAATGTGTGCTACTAAGATGGAGTGATTTCATAGAAGAAGAGATATTAAGATAAGTGGGTAAAACTGCAGAGATATTAACCTGGTCAAACAAAAGCTCTTCCAATGAAGTAGAGTTGTGGAGGAGATTGTAGAAAACATGAGGTTCAAGCTTCATTAAATTTCGAGAGAGATCCAAGGAAACCAATTTAGGAAGAAGTGAAATTTCTAAAGGAATTTGACCTGTTAATCCACAATAAGAGATGTTGAGATGGGTAAGACTATTGGAAAGCATGCCAATTTCATGTGGAAGTTGGGAATCGATAAGATTATTGAAGGCAAGGTTGAGTGATTGGAGGTGAGGAAGGCTGAAGAGGGTGGAGTTAGGGTGGATGGTCCCTCGTAGCATGGCACAGGGAAGGTCAAGAGCGATCACATCACCCGTGTATTGGCTACAAATGACTCCATTCCATGTACAACAATCTTTGCTTTTGTTCCAATTCATCATAACTGGATGATAAGTAGAACCAAGCCAATCTTGACATATGGGATCATAAGATGTGTCATTGATGGAAAAGAGGTCTTGTTTAAAGAGAAGCAAAGCATGGGTGTGTTTAGGAGAGCATTTATGAGTGGTATTAGAGAAAGAGGAAAATGATGAAGCAAAAGAGAGGAAGACAAAGAAAAAGAAAAAGGAGAGAAACAACTTTGAACAATTCATTCTCTTTAATTGCATGTGTTTGCTTAGTGTAAGCATTTGCAACTACTTTGAACATATATATATATATATATATATATATATATATATATATATATATAACTCATGATGGGATTACGAATTTGCTTGATGTTTTATAACAAATAAATAAATATTATTGAATTCCGTCCATAAAGTATCATATTTTGTCATTTTTTAAGATTAATAATATAAAAGATTATAAACAGCGGGATGTAACATTGACGAATTTTAAACTATTCAACTAAAATCCTTCTTATCGATTTTCTATTTTATTTTTATCGAATTATTTAACTTGTTGGTACTAAAATGTGACTTAAAATTAACATATTTTACAAGAGTTTTGAGTTGCCTCTCTACAAATCAATGTTAATGTGAACAAAATACTTGTATCATCAGAGCATTTTAAAAAACAAATCTATAAAATGAAAATGCAAAAGCTAAAATCTATTAAAACACGAATTGTTTATATTTTTTTCTTCTAAAATGGTAAAAGCAAAAGTTAAAATTCAATAAAAAGTTAGATTCATCCAACTCTAATTATAATTGATTTTATATATTAGAATTTTGTAAATACATTAATTATGTTATAATATCCGTGTTTCGTTAACTCGTACAAATTGGATTAAGTGAATTTTTGAAAAAATTATGCATAACATATCTGTATCCTATGCTTAACTAACTTGTACCCTAGACGAGTTTTGTGTTAAAAATTGAGTTTATACCTAATTTGACGTAAAGTTGAGAATCTAACTTAAAAGGTTAAAACCGTCAAATAGTTAAACTTTATATATATATATATATATATATATATATATAATTAAAAAAAGAAAAATAAATAAATATATATATACATGAGAATAAGGACGGTTTCATCACCGCCTCATTCCGTCAATTCTCATTTCTCTCTTTATAAAACTATCGAATTCTTTCTGAATTTTACGTCAAGTTAGTAAAGGGATCAAAGTAATAATTATATATTCGGAATCACTCTCCGAACCCTTCTTAAAGGTATAAATCTTATTCAATTTAATTAAGGTGTTTATGTTAGGGTTATTGATACCGGTTTATAAATTGTGTTTATGTCTAAGTTTACGGATTGATATTGTCAAAATTATGATATATTTGATGCTTAGAATGCTAGGACTGGTTAAATTGATGTAGAAATGAAAAGGATATAATATAGTTTCAATATGATTAGATTGTAGGTATATGTTTAACCGTACACCAATTGTTCGGTTAAATGTCGAAAGGAGTAAAAATGCATGATTAAGCTTAGGTTAGCAACCATTGGATTTGTTTTATTGTTTAGTATGTTGAAGTATGTTTATAGCATGTAAATGTAGCGAATCATAAAAGTTGGATCATAAAAGTTAGTAGGGAATTATATTTTCGAATTTTATCGACAATGCAACTCCTGTACTTTGACAGTGTATAACTCTCAAACCGTAAGTTAGAATAAGCTCGTATTTTGCAGTCGGAAAGATCTTACTGCATACTACAACTTTCATGAAGGGTCGAAAATCCGGTTATGACTCTAAGTGGCTCGAAACAGTATGTTTTTGGGGCTGTTTATACTATATTCGGGATTAATTTGCAATTTTATGAAATTCATATAAAATAGATGGATGATCCAAATGAGATGATTTCAAAAGCAATAGACACGTATGATACCAACCTACAACTTTTATTTTAGACAATACAATTTGGACTGGTCTCTAAGTAGGGCAAAAATGCTTAGAAATAAGAGGGACGGAAGCGATTGGATCGAAAGAGAATAAGGTTTAAGTTTTACGTTTGAGTTTTCAATTCGTATCCAGCTGTCCTTCTTGAAGTCTACGTTGTTTAAGTACATTAAGACTTAAGTAATTTTATTAGAATAGTTATAATATGGTTTCTATGTTTTGTAAATAGTAACCCGTTTATGCATTCGATAGGCACGCGGACAAATCAAACTTGATTGTGAATTTACGTTTGATCGTGCGTTAATTGTCAAATTCGGCTAAGGTACGGATTTCATATCTCACTTGACACGGGGATAGCCATTTGCGTAAGGCTTCCTAATCCGAATATATTGGTTCCAAATTCTCATTGTGCTCATCAATTGTTATTGAGCTTTTGTTTGCTTTCGAAATATGATGTACATTTTTATTTAGAATATAGATCATTTTGATCACTTGACTTGTTTGTTTGCTTTATTGTGAAACATTTTACTATAGACTCAATAACTGGAACATCGATATTGAGATGCATGGTGACTAAAACGATCATGTCGTCCTTATGTTTATAGTCTTTAAAAGTGGACTTGATTATATACCGGTCGAATAGAGGGCGTATGGATCGATCCTAGGAACCGTTATCGGATAATGAATTGTGGTCGTGGTTAAATCCACGGAGAGGATTGTTGTGTTGTGCTCACACCCCTTTCCTCACTTGTGCTTGAATGGATTGATCATCATTTGGGAACAATGCGTCCTCATGATGCGGTTTGGTCTTCGGACCCTTGATATGCTTTTGGGGCATTTGACTTTCTTTTGAATTATCACTTGGCTTTATAAATTGTTTTTGAACTTGTTATCTCACATTCATTGTTTAGTTATATTATTATCCGTTCACTGAGCATTAAGTTCAGCCGAGATTTTCTTGTCCTCGGCAGGTACATGACTTAGCAGCGATTTTGGGATGAGAGCTACGGAGATGACAATATTGAAGATAACTCATTAAGTCATACTTTTGTTAAACTTTTGATGACTAATGTAGATATATTGATATTTTGGGACTGTATTTTGAGACACGTTATCTCCGTATGTGGTTATGTAATTATCTTTTGGTAAATTTTATTAGTTGCTTTGTTTTATATAATGCGATGTTTTTTTTAAAACCACTTGTGGCATCTCCCGTCTTTGATCACGCGGGACGGGGATGTTACTTTGATCACGCGGGACGGGGATGTTACAATGTTATCCAAAAAAAAGTTATTAATTAAGTTTTAAATTTTTTGTTTGCGTGTGGGAAGTCTTTGAATCCAAATTCATATAATATATTGAAAAATAAGACGGTGGAGAAGCAATGAAGTTGATTGGGGTCGAAGTCCACAACAATAATCTTGATTTTGGTAGATAATAATTAAAAAAATTATTTATATGTGTAGGTATTATTATTATTATTATTATTATTATCATACTCTGTTTCAAAATTTATTGTATAACTCTAACATTATTTTTAAACGGTCAATATATTATCAACATGGTCAAATGATGTCTCCAATTAAATAAGTGTTATATATAATTAAATGGGAAGTTTTTCATAAAATTATTAGTTTCAAGATGGGCCATAGGATTCCATCGTTTAACACGTTTATTGTTTTA